CGGTGGGCAGCCTCCTTAGTCCTGGCGTTGACACAAGCCACCTTGGCCTGCAAGTCTACAAAGGCCACGTGGAGGCAAGCCCAGTACTCCGTGTCGTGGTGGAGGCGGGGGATGTTGTAGGTGTGGGTCCCCATGGGGATGCGGGCCACGTTGGTCGTGTCCAAGTTGGAGCTAAGCAAGAAGCTGGACCAGGTGAGGTTGGAGGAGATGGTGTTGAGATGCGGCTTCCAAGCAACCAGGATGTGGTAAGACTGGACGTCCACCACCACCAGCTCCAGGCTGTCCTCGCTGAGCGGGAAGGAGTGGTTGACCATCACACTGACGCTCTTGGTGTCTGCCCCGAGGAGGTTGTGAGCCACACAGGTGTACAGCCCGGCCTCCCGTGCCGAGATCCCGTGAATCTCCAGCGTCCCTTCAGGGTGCACCTTGTACCGCCCATCCTCCGCATAGGGGATCAGCTTCACCCCTGAAGGGGTCACCCAGTAGATCTCCGGGTCTGGTTCTGCCAGAGCTCGGCAATGCAAGGAGACGTTGTCACCATCTGCCATCTCTAAGTGGGAGGGAAAGCTCTTGGTGGAGATGAGAGGCAGACACCGGTCCGTCATCTCCCGGAAGGGGACATCCCGAATATGCCTCTTCTTGAGGTCGGGGGGCTCGGCGCAGAGCGTGGACTGGGGTTCGATGAAGCGGATGTGGTTCTCCGTGCTGTTGACCCAGCGGATGACGCAGTCGCAGCGGATGGGGTTGCTGTGGATGCTGATCTCCTGCAGGTTGGGCAGGGACTCCACTGTCTGCTTATGCAAGGCACTTAGGGCGTTGTTGTTGAGCATGAGGGTTTCCAGTTGGGGGAGGTGGTGGAACGCATGGGGGTGGATGAAGGACAGCTTGGGGTTGTTGGTCACGTCTAGCTTGGTCAGCTCGGGGAGGTTGATCAAGGCAAACTTGTCTATGGACACCAGCTCCTCCATGTTGTTGAGCCCGAGCTCTTTGAGGTGCAGCATGTTGGTGAAGTCGCTTTGCCTGACCCTCTGCAATGGGTTTTTGTTCAGATCCAGGAACTTGAGGCCAGGAACTTGCTGCAGCGCTTGCTTGGGGACGTTCATGAGCTTGTTGTCGTAGAAGGAGAGGCTCTCCAGGCTCCGCAGCCCTTCCAGCGCGTAGTCCGAGATCTCCCTCAAGTGCATCCCAGCCAAAACCAAACTCCGCAGGTTCGACAGTGGCCTGAAATTCATGTCCAAGATCGCATCCACCCTGTTGCCTCCTATCATGAGGATCTCCAGGCTGGGGAGCATCTGGAACCAGCGGCTGTCGACTGTCCTCAGCAGGTTGGAGTTGAGGTGGAGGCGCAGGAGGCTGCCGAGGCCAGAGAAGGCACGGGGAGCGATCCTGCGGAGCTGGTTGTGGTTCAGGTAGAGCTCCTGCAGGTTGCCCAGCCCGGGGAAGCTGCCATCGGGCAGCTCGGAAAGCTGGTTCTCCTCCAGGTGCAGGCTGAGCAGCTGGGGCATGCTCTTCAGACCAAAGTCCCAGACATCGGAGAAGCTGTTCTGCGACAGGTCCAGCTCCGAGAGGTTTCTGAGATAGTCCAGCTCACTCTGCTCCAGCCTGGCGATATTGTTGCTTTGCAAAAGCAGGGTCTGGGTCCCCTCCGGCAGGTCTTCGGGCACGGCAGAGATGAACAAGTCATTGCAGTCCACCGTGGCAGCCTCCCGGTACACCGAGCGGGGGGTGTACCACGGCCGGATCTGGCAGACACATTGCAGGGGACATTTGACCTTCCAGGGCACGATGGGGATGGCGGCGGCGGCCACCACGCAGAGCAGAAGCGAGCTGGTTTGGAAGCGGCTCATTTTGGGCTGGTGGGACCGACTTCCTCCCAGGCAGGAAAAGCTCATGGGGTGCATCCAGAGCCGGGCATGGGGTGGCAGCCTGGTGGGGACAGCATCCACGGGAGGAGATGCTCCATGCGAGCCCCTGGCACCAATCAGCTCCTGCTGCCGGCTGCCCTGCCTGCCTCCCCCCGCCCAGAGCACATCACACCAGGGACCAGGGCTGGTGCCTTCAGTCAGAGCTTCGCCTCTTCTTCCTCCCCAAATGATTCATTTTTGCCCTCGGCTGCTTCTTTCGGGTTCCTCCTCAAGGTCATTCCTGAAAGAGGCCAGACAACAAGTTGTGTCAGAGGAGACCTTGTGCACATGGTGAACAAGTGTGTCAGAGTTTAATCTGTTTTATATCCATGGTGTTAATGGTTCCCTCCCATTCCAAGAGGTTTTGATCGTAAGTAGCCCACAGATGCTCTGCCCAGGGCCACCAGCAGCCCACGGACCTTGGCCCAGCCTGGCTCAAAGGTTTCCCCATGAGCAGAGCTGGAGCTGCAGGTGCTGGGAAGAGAAAATCTCCATGGGCTAACCTTCCCCTGGGCTCTCAGGATGCTGCTTTCTGCCCGTTATCCTCCCCAGCACCAAGTGCCTCTACCCAGGAGCTCCCAGTCCTGTTTGCAGCCCCCAAAATATTTGTCCCCAGGTTGGCTTTTGGAGGAGACCTGTCCCCAGGCACGGAGCTGTTTCTTGGCATCTCCTGCAGAAGCCCTGCAGCAACACAGGGACCAGAACTCCATTTGCTTTGCGCTGGGACAGATTCTCCCAGACCCACCTCATTCATCCCTTTTATTTCTGCAGCAGCAAAGCAGGAAGCACACCTACCCCTGCACAAACCCCGGGTTTAAAAGCAAGTCTAGAAGGCTGATCCCAGGTGCAAAGCCCAGCTTTTAAAAGAGCAGCAGAAAAGTGAGCAGAGCCGCCTGCACCATGGGGCTGCAGCATCCAGAGCAGCCACCCAGCCCCTGCACAACCCCCCCCCCCCCCGGGGAACAGGCCCCCAAACAGTCCCCCAGCTCCAGCCCCCCCAGGTCCTTGTAAAGCCCAGGGTGGGGTGGAATTCCCAGGATCAGCAAACCCTGATTGGGCTCATTAGAAACTCCTGGGGGAATGCAGAAAGCCCTTAACCCCCTCCATGCTGAGCATAAGCCTTGCCTTGCCCCCCTCGCCTTGCCCCTTTCCAGGGTGGAGGGGTTCTGAGGGGCTGGGGTGGGGGGGAGCCCCCCAAGCACCTCCCTGCTCCTCTGCCCCTCCAGCTGTGGGGTTCAGAGGAGCTGGAGCTGGCCATCACCCCACCTTTGATTTTTTTTTTTTATTTGCTACAGCTCTCCTGCCCCACGCTGACACAAATCAAACCAAACCCCAAAGCTTCTCCCCGTCTTAAAAGACTCTCACACAGCAGGAAAAACATTAAAAAGCGGCTGGAGTGAGAAAGAGAAAGTTTCTTTCCGAGCAGCTCTATTTTATCACCCCCTTGTTCTCCCTGTAAAGGGCTTCCAACCAAAGTTTGTTCAGCATCGACTCATCCGAACCTTGCGCCAGAATTGATCCCACACACTTCCCTTCCTGCCTGCTGCGAGGGCATCGGCTTTTAAACCATCTCCCGGCGCAACAGCATTAAAGAAGAGGAAGGCTGTATTGATTTCTGCATCCTTCTGATGGACCCTCATCTTTCTTTTTAAGTGCGCAGGCATTTCTGCGACTATAAATCTCCCCGGCCATTAAAATATTATAGAACCTTTTCTCCTTAAAAAAATAAAAAATACGGAGGAATGTTTGAATGGGTTTTTTTATTTCCTTAAGGCTGTGAAGAAGAGCCCAGAAAAAGCACCTTGTTTCAAACTCCATTTTGCAGGGAGGAGTCCCCAGCTCTGCTGTTGGGTGACACCTTTGCAGGGTCTGTGTCTGTAACCGGGTTTTATCGCTTTTGCCCAGGACAGGACGGGGTTGCAGCGCTGATGGCTGGGGAAATTCCTGGATACAAGATGCTGCCGTAAGGGCCCAGGTGTTTGTATAAGTAATAGGATCAGAGCGTGCAGAAAAAAATGTCATTTTTCGGAAACTCTGGGTACTAAACTTCATCATTCGTGGTCTGAAATGGCACGGAGCAAACCCAACAAGGAGGGCATGGGCAGCGCATAGTGCCTCTGCGGGGTACAAACCCCGGGGGGACAGTCCTGGCAGGGGATGGGGCTGACCCCCTCTGCTGTGGCAGCCCCAGTGACAGGAGTGACACCCCGGG